GTCATCACTGGCAACACGCACTGGGTGTACAGTCTCGTTTTCAAGGTTTGAGGTATACCTGACGAGAAGATGTGCCGTAATTTCCCGAACGCTGCCCAACCGAGTTGAATCCGTCGATTGACCTCTCGGTCGAAGTTGGACTTACCTAGTCGGACTATTTGTCCCAGGTAAACATACTCGTCAACAACTTCGAGCTTAGTGTTCCCAACAACTACCGGCATAGGTGTGACATGGACATTAAACATGATCTTAGTTTTGTCCATGTTCATCCTAAGACCTATCCGTTGGGAAACACTATTGAGGTCATTGAGCATAGTGCTTAGGCCCTCCAGCGATTCTGCCATAAGGACTATATCGTCGGCAAATCGAAGGTGAGTGATGTACTCGCCATTGATGTTGATACCGTATCCTTTCCAGTCCAGAAGCTTGAAAACGTCTTCCAATGCAGCGGTGAAGAGTTTCGGGGATATGACGTCACCCTGTCTTACACCTCTCTGCAATTGGATAGGTTTCGTACTCTGGTTCTGTACTCGGATAGCCATCGTAGCCCTACTGTACAAGCACTTCAACACTTCGATATACCGACAGTCAACTTGGCACCGCTGAAGGGACTGCAGCACCGCCCAAATTTCGACGGAATCAAAGGCTTTCTCATAGTCCACATACGCCAGACATAGTGGCAAATTGTACTTTTCGGACTTCTGTACAATTTGCCGAAGGGTACGTATATGATCTATGGTGCTAAAGCCCTTTCGGAAACCGGCTTGTTCGGGAGGCTGGAAGTCGTCAAGTCTGCGCGCGAGACGATTTGTAATGACTCTCGAAAACAGCACGTAGACGCGGCTCAGAAGGGAAATCGGTCTGTAGTTCTTCAAGAGAGCGTTGACACCTTTCTTGAAGAACAAGACCACCGCACTTCTGCTCCACGCCTCCGGTGTAATGCCACCATGGAGGACGGAATTAAAGAGCTTCTGAAGGACTTCAAGTACCGGTTTTCCACCCGCTTTCAGAAGCTCCGCTGTAATTCCATCCTCGCCTGGGGCCTTACCGTTTTTAAGGTGCTGGAGAGCCATTCTAATCTCGCTCAGACTGACGTCCGGGATATCTTCGGAATAGTGTCGGATGAGACTCGCTCTTGGATCGTTACTCACACTTGCGTGTGGCTCCAACGATGACGTGTACAACTGCCCATAGAACCTCTCAATCTCACTCAAAATCTCAGGTGTCCCGGAAACGATGCTGCCACACTCTGTCTTCAGTTTTGACAGTTGGCTCTTTCTGGCAGACAGATCTCTGGCAAAGACTTTGGAGCCTTGGTTCCGCTCGATCGCTTCTTCAATACGAGCTGTATTGAAGTTGCGTAAGTCCCGCCGCATGCATTTGGAGATCTGTCTGTTCAGATGCCTGTATGCTGTCAAGTCTGTTGAAGAATGTAGCTTCATCTCCCGTCTAACAGCCATGAGATTAAAAGTGTGATCGGAGAGTTTTTGTGTTCTTTTGCGGCGGGTCTTGCAGAACTTAGCTCCGACCGCATGGACAGTTTCCACGAGCTTGTCATTCATATCGTCCACTTCATTGCAGTCTTCTAGGCACTGAAAACGGTTTTGTAACTCGAGCTGAAAGGTTTCGGGACTTTGGATTAGAGCACGAGGGGGACGGAGCGTTGACTTCATTAGACGAGACCTCTCCAACTTAACGTTTAGGTTCAGTGTGCCTCTAACCATTCGGTGATCGCTACCAGTTTTCACCCTCGCGATCACGGAGACATCACTGAACAGTTGTCGTCTGGTCGTCATAATGAAGTCAATCTCATTTTTTGTGGAACCGTCCACTTCCTGTGGGGCCGCTTCTGGAAGAAATAGTTCATTATAAAGTGTACCTCTTCCTCCATGAAGTCGGCCAGCTGCTGGCCCCTTGGGTTCCGTTGCCCTATTCCAAATTTCCCTACTTTCAGCTCACCGTTCTCTCTTGTGCCTAGTTTTGCATTAAAGTCTCCCATTAACACCGTATATTGGGTTTTGGAGGAATGCATGGCTCTAGAGATATCCTCATACATTTTCTCCACCTCCTCATCGGGGTGTGCCGAGGTTGGTGCGTAAACCTGTATGACCTTCAGCGAATACCGTTTGGTGATTCTGAGTATAAGGTACGCAACCCTCGTCGACACACTCCCGATCTTTACAACGTTGTTAACGAGAGACTTGTGGACGATAAATCCGAAACCTCCTTGGGACAGATGGTCACCCTCCCGGTGATAGAGTAAGTTGCTGGATTCGAGGATTACCGTGTCCTCCCCCTCTCTTCGGATTTCGGATAATCCTATAATATGCCAGCGCAACTTGTCTATCTCTTCTTCCAGCTCCACGATCTTCTCGTCAGTCCTCAGGGTGCGTGCGTTGTACGTTGCCAGGTCGAGTCGTCTAAGGTGGCAACCGAACCTCCACCGGAGATTCTTAGCACCCCCTGCCCCGCCGTTACCATGGTCGCCACCGTAGCCAGGAATAGCGGGGCCGCCGGGGACTGGGGGCCGTTTCTTTGTTACTGTCATTCATAGGGGGGTATTTACCATAGTTGCCACGCTTGGCGAGCGGGTTGGCAACCGCAGTTTTCTTTTTTGTTAGTTTGTTGTTATCAAGAAAATGCTGCTGCCCATCTCCTGCCTGTTTCCCTTTGACGCCTTTAACGACACCCACGGGAGGATATGGGGTAGTGGATATTCTTGACCGCCACTACACGGCAAATTTGAGTAGATGGTGGAAAATATGACACAACTTTTTAAAAAACTAATGAGCAGTGGTGTCATAACCCTACAATGTTTGTTAGTCGATACTGTGTGTACACGCGCCTAGCTGCCCCAACAAAAGTTGGACCATACAGGGGCCCATACAGCTGTAGATTCGACGAACAACTAGGGGCGGGGCCCATTGGCCTATGAAGACTTATCATTCTACACAATAGATATAAGGCAAGGTAAACAAATAGTACGTATAAAAGCTTTTACAAAAATTTACTTCGCAAATATCCGCGTTATAAAATAAAATGATGTGTCTTACCTAGTACTATTTTATAACGCGGATATTTGCGAAGTAAATTTTTGTAAAAGCTTTTATATAATGGATTTCCGCAAAGTAACGCCTGATTCTATTAATTTAAATAGTACGTACCTGGTTCTGAAGCTAAGAATGCTCCAAGGCTCGGTCAGGCGGTAGGTAGGTGTAGGTGCATGTAAGTGGTGTGTAGTAGTGTTTATATATGTGACCTGACCTAGCTGAGGTGACCGGGCAGCGACCTGGTCCGATGCTGCCCCACCATGTTGTATCACTCCAGCAGACGTCACCAATTGACACGTTCTTTCTTCATTTCACTATTTCAGTCTATCAACTTTATCGTACACTATTTCAATCCATCAACTTTAATGTACATTTACCTAACTTCAAACTCAACCAATTCAACGTTCATCGAAATCAAACACGTAACACCCGACACGACTAATGAACGGTGGATCAAAGTTCACTTCCGTTTTCACTCAGCAACAAATTGTTTCTAGAACCGAACACGAACTTCTCTAGGGTCACAAAGTTCAGCGTTCCTAAACAACAAACTAAATTCCTTCGTACGATATTAAATACTACGCCGCAATAAGAATTCAAAATCAGCCTAGCTGACACGCAAACCAACTACAGAGTCAACACACAAAAGGCTCTTAACGCGACGGTACAATTAAACAATGACTTCCAAAAACAATTAACCGGGCCACGCCCTCGAAATGGAATGCGAGCTTCAAATTCCAGACCGTATCTCTACTCGGTGTGCGCGCAAGGTTCCACGTCACACAAGCAAGTTAAATATTGCAAAATGCACTTCAACACGCAACCACTATACAATTGACGCAATTACTTTCAAACGAAATTACTTTAATCAGTCAAATTCAATACAAGCCTCTTGTCACGAACGTACAACTCAGACAAACTTACTCGAGGCGGTCTCCACGAGACCCCAAATTCAATAGCGAATTAAACGCGCACAAATACTAAAAATCTAGACCACAAAACCAAAACTGGTCAAACGAAACCGCTGCCGCGGTCACCACAAAATACGTTAATCGACCGCGCCGCTGCTCTCAAGCTACTGTCCCTCGCCCACGAGAGTCGAACGCCGGGAAGCTGCATACCGCTGCCCCCCCCCCCCCCGGCGACGTCACTTCACACCATCGGGCGATTCGCTTAGTCAAACGCGATTGGATGGCGTTTCAAATGCCCATGTTTGGGCCTAAACACTGTGTGTAAACTTTAATTCTTAATTAAAAGAAACAAGATATTGTCGATGTCTAGGTATACTTTGTAACATGTTTTATCTATCTTTGCAAAACTGTAATATTTAAGTTAGTGACCAGCGTTGCTGAATTCACAATAATAAAAAATATGCAGTAATTACATTAGATAAGTTAATAATTGTGAACTTGTTTGTTGTCCGAAGTACTAAATAAACAAAATACAAAAAAAAAATCATCAATATTGGTTCAAAATCTGCGTTAAATACAAAAACATACACTCGAATGAAAAACCTCCTCCTTTTTGAAGTCTATTGAAAAGTACCTTTGATTTTATTTTTACACGCAAATATGATGTTTTGATCGTTTCATATTCCATTGTCCAAATTGTTTCTTGTTATTTATTGACTTCTTAGATTTAAACACTTAGTTTCTTTTCGCAATGAAAGGAAATATCCCCCCTATGCACACTACCAAACATAGGCCTCCCCCAAGTAATGCCACCAATCATAGTCCTGAGCCACCTACATCCATATACATTTCGTAATAACCACTTCCATACAATGCTGTTGTAAATAAAAAACAAAATACATTTTCAATTCATTTTATTTTTTATAGTTTTAAATGCGTACTGCGATATTCTCGCTTCTCTCGACTACATTTTTAAAATTAGAATCAATGATCCAATCACTCTTGACTTCAGTCTTTTATAAGTATTTTTTTCATACACTTAAGTCTCATGTTGCGTCGAATCTATGGTAACATTTCCTTTATGAAATCTGAAACAAAACAAGACCTTTATATCTCTGTACGACTTTAAGGTAGACTTTATTCAAGAGAAAGTATCAACAAGCGCGGCTAACGTCAATATATACATATTAACATTTCAGTGAATATAAAAAACTACAGTTGCCAACCCATTTTTTATTTCCCACAGACTTTTTATATTGGTTGCACAATTTTATAAATTTATTACACACTGAGCGTGGAGAAACAATTTACGCTATTTGATACGTAATTGTCTTCCACTCTCTATAACTTTCTATAAACTTTAGTGGCACGTAAAGCATATACAAAAGCAACTACAATAAAAACTAATGGCAGTTGCAACTGCGTACTACAATTAACATAGTAACAATATAGAAATTTTACATCGGGGATTAACAATAGATACAGTAATAAAAGATAACAAAATGGCACATACATATTCTTAGTCTATAATTATAAAACAATAATAAATTTATGTCATACTAGCTGTGCCCCGCGGTTTCACCCGCGTCATCACGTGTCGGAGGTGCGCGACATGACCTAGTTCAAGCGTTTTATAATTGCAATTAAATATTTTATTTGATAGCAATGGATGGAATAATTGGCATAATTAATGGAGTACTTTTATCTGTCGGCATATTATGTATGATGTAGAGCGAAGTTAAGTTTTATCCACTTTCCCTCCCCCTCCCGGTTGAGCAGTTCTCGCAGTTCTCACCGGGCAGCTAGCGTTTATGTGTCGTTCGCGCGCCCAGTCAAGTATTGAATTATTTTAATTTTACATTATCTCTTAAACTATGCATTCAAATAACATGGTATAACGAACAAACTTTATCTTCATAAAACTGTCTTGATGATGAAGTAACTTTCATTCGTAAGGATAAATAGGCCATGGCTAATAATAACGCTCATATATCACTTTTAAATTTTCAATATTTTTTGTCACAAAATACCTAATTATGGCTTATGTATAAGAAATAGACATATGGTATCGCGGACTTTTTTTAGACGGAGTAAAGATCTATTTTTTTCTAGAACATTGTATTTACGTATCCGACGATAACACCAGCGTACGCGGATAAATCATTTCGGGAGTGCGTTTTCTTCTGACTTGCTTAACAAATATCTATATTTAAGACTAGCTGAGTGATATAGCTTAATGCTAGATAGACTATACTATTCCACATGAATCTGGCTAAAATATACAAAAAGAATTTTTCAAATCGGACTGGTAGTTCCAGAGATTAGAGCGTTTAAACAAACAAAAAAACAAAAAAACTCTTCCGCTTTATTATATTAAGTATAGATGGGCGTAGTAGAAAGCTATCGTTGGAAAAGACCGAACGATCTGAGGCCTCCGACTGACGGCGGTGTGAACTTTCGGATATTTTTATAATACTGAGACCGGCAAAGAGGAGTCGCATTGAGGGTGCAAGACTTTTTTTATACAGTTGTCACCCGTGAGGATTAAGATGGAATGCCTCGTTTCCAGTAATAAGGATCTCCGGTTCTCTACACTCACCATACGAAACACAGCAACGTCAAGCTTCTATTTTACGCTGGTATTCTGTGAGAGCATGGTCCTTCCCCGGTCGTTGCTTAATATATTAACAAAGTTTTCGTATGTGCAAAGGGAAAAAAACATCAAAAAGACCGCAAACAAAAGTACACTTTGCTTACAAAATTTCTTTGTAAACAATGTTATTCGTTGCAAATTATAATCTATCCAGTAGTTATTTCGTAATGAGCGCACAACTGCAAACCTCTATCATTTTATTTATATAGAAGAAGACACCAGCAGCGCACATATTATTACATTTATATTGTAAGTAGGCTTAATCTAGGGATTAATGTGTACCATTATAGGTGGCAGCATTGCAAAGTACTATAAAATTAAGAGAAAGCAAAGTTACAATAGCTAATAAATAAATATGTCGCAAATAGAATACCTAAAGATGCTACGTAACTAAGAAAATAAAATCATGCGTATAACCACTATTTTATTGTTTATTCTCAAGTTATTCTCAAGTTTCACATTTGTGAACTTTAATAACTTGAGAGTAAGCTCGCTTTTCGAATCACAAATACTGTTCGAAAGGTCCTAAAACTATCTGCGTTGCAATAGAAATAAAACTTTTTATGATGGGAATTAAGTTTAAAAATGCAAAGCAATAAAAAAATCCTAATCTGCGACCGTGCTTTAGCAGCTGTTAAGGGACATGGATGTTAGTACATTACAGCCTATTAAAGTCCACTGCTGAACATACGCCTCCGCCATAGATTGCCTCATAGGTATATATTTGCCATAGTTGTAATGTTACTGTTGATTTGAAAATTTTATCTCTCAGTGGGTCATGTGCTCCTGGTAGATTATCTTCTATACATCCATCCATTACAGCCTATTAAAGTCCACTGCTGAAGATATGCCTCCCCCATAGATTGCCTCATAGGGAGGATATTTTCCATAGTTGTAATGTTACTGTTGATTTGCAAATTTCACCTCTCAGTGGGACATGTGCTCCTGGTAGATTGTCTTCTATACATCCATCCACTACAGTCTATTAAAGTCCGCTGCTGAACATAGACCTCCCCTATAGATTGCCTCATAGAGAGATATTTGCCATAATTGCCACGTTTGACAAACGGATTGTTAGGAAGACTTTGCCACCCATCTAGTGATTTGTTTCCCTCTGTCGCCTCTTACGACACCCACAGGATTATATGGGATAGCGGATATTCTTACACCGTTACTACACGGTTTATGGATGTTAAATGAGACATTTATAACTAAGAGAAAAAAAGCATGTGTGCAGTTAACACACGGTAGAAATGAAACGTTCAGAAAACTAAACTTCGAGAGAATGAGATGAATACAGAGTATCAGGAATAGGATAATTGTTGGGAATAAGTAATAAATTTATAATGTAAATGTGTATACCGTATTATATCTCATTCTTTCGCATCTTAAATAACATAGATGTGTGATGTGATGTTTGTGTGTTTTTAGTCTCGCCTTTTTCGTTTCATCGAGTTACATTTCTTTACTTTACGTACTGACCTTTGTGAGCTGTAACGGTAACAACGTACCTGTCCACGTGTCGATGCAATGTGGCTCGCTGCGTATACCGCTTGCCGCAGACTGTGCATGTGTGTGCGCGCTCACCCGTATGTGTGCGTGCGTGCAACTTCAAGTTGAACCGCTTGGTGAACGACTTGCTGCACGTACTGCAACGTAATATATACATCATAATTTTTTTTATATAGAATTAGGATCACTACTGTGGCCCACCTACATCAATCCTCGATGAAGAATAAAAATTCCAGTAAAAAGGGTCTCCGGTTCTTTACACTCAGACTAAAAATAACAACATTTCGATGCTATTTAACATACACACACGCAAAGGAGCGCGCACTCCCGAACGCACGCACATACGCATGGTTGCACACAAGCATACACATCTATGAACGCGCGCACGCACGTACGTACGAACGCGCACACACACACAAACACATACACCCACACTCAATCACGCATGCACACACCCACACCAGAGAGAGGGAGAGACGTACGCAGACGCAAACGCACTCCCGCACGCACGCACGCACGCACGCACGCACGCAAGCACTCACGCACGCACGCACGCACGCTAGACTGCACGCACGCCTGCACGCACGCACTCAAGCACGCACGCAAGCACGCACGAGCGCACGCACACACACACACACACACACACACACACACACACACACACACACACACACACACACACACACACACACACACACACACACACACACACAACTCACACAACTCACACACCTCACACACCTCACACACCACACACACCACACACACCACACACACCACGCACACCACGCACACCACGCACACCACGCACACCACGCACACCACGCACACCACGCACACCACGCACACCACGCACACCACGCACACCACGCACACCACGCACACCACGCACACCACTCACACCACGCACACCACGCACACCACGCACACCACGCGCACCACGCGCACCACGCGCACCACGCACACTACACGCACACCACACACACCACACACACCACACACATCACACGCACCACACACACCACACACACCAAACACACCACACTCACCACACACACCACACACACCACACGCACCACACACACCACACACATCACACACACTACACACACCACACACACCACAGACACTCACACACGCATGCATGGCGAAACTTGCATGTCTGTGGAAGAATATATTACATAGAAGTGTGAACAACACTAGCAAATCATTTGGAAATATGAACATAAAGAACAACAACAAAAATGTGGAAAAATAAAGAACATGAATTTAGATTAAGGTGAAAGCTCCAGGGTGGCCCGGGGCGATTTAAATTTTCCAGACAAACTCATTCAAAGGGCTAATATGAACTTACAGGGTTGTATTGGTGAATTTAATGATAATAATTCTATAAACACATAATCGCTACGGTCGCGAATCATATTTTGTTAAATATACAACCTAACCCTGACCTGTAAATTACAAAAAACGCAAGAAAATTTGAATTTCGCGGGCCGCCCTGGAGCTTCCCACCTTAAACGCAACTTTTTTTTCTAATATGCAGATAATTTACCATTTCTTTGGCAATAACATAAAGATCATCAAAGATTAAAGACAGAATACTCACCTACAGCTGTAAGGTCGTTCGCCCAGATGAATCCGCTTGTGAAACTTAAGTTGTCCAGCGTCTGACAAAACCTTCCCACAAATGTCGCAAAGGAACGTCGTCGTTATACCGTGCTCCTGAAGGTTGAAAATTCATATAATATTGTTACGATAGTCAGTCAGTTGTCAGTTGCATGTTACATCACGATGACCAATATAATTATAACGATGTTTGGAAACAATAAAAATCAATATTACCAAGTGAAAATGTAAGGCATACGAAATTACAATTATCAAGCTTATGAATAAAAGCAAGATTCAACCTTATGTGTAGGACAATTAAGCATTTTATCCTTTGAATGTATTTCTAAGTAAGATTGTTCTAGCATTTTCGCATATAAAGAGAGGGATGTTTGAATAAATCGGACTGACCAATAATATTCCTTATTTATTATTATGGGTTGACTGGTACCGTGGCCACAAGGCATTAAGTCCGCCCTTTGTATTCTTTTAGATTAAGGAATGCAATAAAGAATAAATAAATAAATATTCCTTCTTCCTAATCTATACAAATAAATAAAATTGAAGTGTCTGTTTGTAATGTAAAAATTACAGTTTTTTACTAAATGCATACGAAAGTAAATACGATACTTTATAACTAAAATACTATTTTTAAAATTTTTGTCTGTCTGTCTGTCTGTTTGTTCCGGATAATCTCCGAAACGGCTGGACCTATTTTGACGGAACTTTCACTGGCAGATAGCTGGTTTCATAAGGAGTAACTTAGGCTACTTTTATTTTAGAAAAATAATTAGGGTTCCGCACAAAAACATAAAAACCCTAACACGCGAGCGAAGACGCGGGGAACAGCTAGTTGAATATAAAAGCGTGCGCCGGCGAACGGAAAATTGAGTTGACCGTACAGTGGCGGTATTTTTTTTTTTTTTTTTTATAGAATAGGGGGCAAACGAGCATGCGGCTCACCTGATGTTAAGTGACTACCGCCGCCCATGAACAACCGCAACACCAGGGGAATTGCAGATGCGTTGCCGGCCTTTGTATATTCTTATACCACCACAGTACGGTCAACTTAATTACCTCTACTTTATATAGTTATGTGGATTGTCGTAGTTCTTGCAATTCACGAGTGCGGTCGACATTTGGATGTGGCGGACGCCCGCTCATGTCACTTGTGCACATTGCTTCCCCGACGATACGAACGTTCGTTTCGTGACTGACCGCTCTGCCAGGCACGCACACTGTCACACAGTGAATGTACATGTCGAACCACATCCAAAGGTCGACCGCACTCACGAATTACATGAACTATAACAACTCAAAATAATAAAAAAACTACGGTTGATAACCAGCCTGCCAAGCGTGGCAACTATTTCAATCCCCTGCAGGCACTCTATAAGGAGGCCTATGTTCAGGAGTGGACTTTTGATGGGCTATAATAGTAATGGTAATAGATTTTACGTGGTAGAGCCATGCTGCAGCTATATTATTAGTATAGTTGTAGCTCGAATGGGTCGGCTCGACCGGGGAAGGACCACGCTCTCACAGAATACCAGCGTAAAATGGCAGTTTGACACTGCTGTGTTTCGTATGGTGAGTGTAGAGAAACGGAGACCCATTTTACTGGAAAAGAGGCATTCCATCTTAGTCCTCACGGGTGACGACGCATCAGCATTTTGATTCTTAATCGAAGACAGATGTCTATGGGCCACGGCATCCACTTACCATCAGGTGGACTGTGTGCTCGTTTGTCGCCCTTATCCTATAAAAAAAAATGTTTAATGTCCTCCAGATCGAGTTTCGGTCACTCCGAGCAGTCTCAACAGAGACTAGCCGTCTGCGTAGGACAGGATTATAGTGCCCGAGTGTATGTTTCTATAAGTCACAGCAACAACTTACCATCAAGTGGACTGTGTGCTCGTTTGTCACCATATCCCATAAAAAAATGGCTAGTCTTCGTTGCGACTATCCGCCGTCATCGAAATTCGGTCTGGAGGACATTATTATTATGTGGAGCCTTAATTCTTTTTCTGCAACAAAAGTAGCCTAAATTACTCTTTATAACGTCAGCTATCTGCCAGTGAAAGTCCCATCAAAATCAGTTCTGCCATTTCGGAGATTAGCCGGAACAAACAGACAGATAGACAAATTTTTTAAAAATTGTGTTTTTTGATATAAGTACCGTATATACTTTCATATGCATTTAGTAAAAAGCTGTTATTTTGACATTACAAACAGACTTTTCAATTTTATTTATTTGTATAGATGTATAGATAGATATAGATAATTTAGGCAATGAAAATTGCAAACTACCTTTAAATGCAATGTCAGTCCTTTCTTCGAGTCGCATGGCTTCGAACAGTGGACGCAGAGGAACCTTTTGCGGGTCGACGCTTGTGGGTGTACGGTTGTAATATGAGCCTTTAAATATCTGAAAAACTTAAATTCTCAGAAAGACGTGATGATGAATGAGAAAACGAAATTAGCCTAATGGTTTTTTTTATAGAATAAAGGTGACGAACGAGCAAACAGTCCACCTGATGGTAAGTAGATGCTGTAGCTATTAAACACATACATCCATCATTGGTTAAGAATAAAATTCACACACACATCTGAGGACTAAGATGGACTGCTTCGTTACAAGTGAAAAGAAGACCCTTTTCACTTGTAACGAAGTTGTAACTTTCTATAAGACTAATTTTTATAGAATTAGTGTGAGAAACGAGCACACAGTCCACCTGATGGTAAGTGGTTGCTGTAGCCCAAAGACATCTACACCTATTACGAATCAAAATGCAGATGCGTTGTCACCAGTTAGAATTAAGATGGAATGCCTCGTTTCCAGTAAAAAGAGTCTCCGGTTCTCTACACTCACATTACGAAACACGTCAGCATTATGCGACTATTTTACGCTGGTATTGTGTCAGAGATTGTTTACGCATTCCTTAGTTCTAGTCTTTATCTATTATATATCTATTACATTTTTGTTGGTCTTTTGTGTATAATTATGTATAACCTTTTTAAATAGTCGTTTAGTTTCTTGTGTCTTACAGTTATTTTTATAGATTACTCGGAATGATTGCTCAAAGTTTTCACAGTTTTCTTCAAAATCTTTAATTATGATTTCCAGTCTTTTAACGTCCCTTGTTTTAGATTCTAAAGCTAATTTACTTCTTTGCAGTCTTTTTCTCATTCGACCTACTAACAATCTCAATTTTTCTACATTTTTCTCAGAATGTAATAATAAACAGTTAGCACGTCTCAGTTTCTTTTTTAAATTATTGCTCCATTTTCTGTTTTCTTTTTTCTCTTCTTTCGACTTGTGTTCAATTTTTTTGCGTCTTTGTTGTTCTTTCTGTTTCCTCCAAAGTCCTCTTTTTCTTTCTTTTTCCTCGCTAACCTTTTTTTGAGCTTTTTGAACTCTTTCTAATTGTTTTTTCTTATAACGAATTCGAAACACGTCAGCATTATGCGACTATTTTACGCTGGTATTGTGTCAGAGATTGTTTACGCATTCCTTAGTCCACTCAAAAGGATAAAAAAATTAAACTTTAAATCAAAAGTAAAAGCCGACTTCAAATAGTGAAAAAGAAAAAAATCTACATAATGGCTTCATAAGTCGATGTACAGACACAGTGTATATAATTAAAAATTAAAAATTTTGTACAACACAGTCCACCTGATGGTAAGTGGTTGCTGTGACCCATTGACATCCACATTTATACTCAATAAAGAATCAAAATGCAGGTGCGTTGTCACCCGTGAGGACTAAGATGGAATGCCTCTTTTCGATTAAAATGGGTCTATGCTTCTCTACATTCACTATACGAAACACAGCAGTATCAAGCTGCCATTTTACGCTGGTATTCTGTGAGAGCGTGGTCCTTCCCCGGTCGAGCCGTCCCATTTGTGCTACAACTATACCACTAATATAGCTGCAGCATCGCTCTACCACGTATAAGTATAAATTATTAAGAATAACTCAAAAACTATTGGTCAGACCTTGATCAAATTTATATGGGACCACGTGTGAAACACCAGCTTTCAAATAAAAAAGAATCATCGAAATCAGTTCACCCAGTAAAAAGTTATGAGGTAACACACATAAAAACATACATTCGATTTGATTACCGCCTCCTTTTTGAAGTCGCTAGAAAAAAGAAGCCCGTTATCTTAGTACTTTGTTGATCAGCGTTTACTTTTCATTAAAAGTTTTATTTTTGACCTTACCCTTTTGAATAGACTAAGGAATATACAACATGTAACAAAAACCCTGTGGTTCCCGTTAAGTACGTTATCAGGGTCAGTATTCAAACCTATAGAAATAACTTTTATTTAAAAACTCTACCATATTTGTTTTTATAAAAAAAAAAATTATGTGGTTTTATTACCTCTTACTGACACTAGCCGATGCTAAAGCTAAGTAAAGCGGGGTCTTTGACAATCCTCTTACTCCCCAGATAATGCAGAGGTAATAAAACCACATATAAAATTTGCATTTTTTTTAAATAACATAAAAAAAAAAATATTGTTCGAGTTTTTCAAAAAAAGTTATTTCTATAGGTTTGAATACTGATCCTGATAACGTACTTAACGGGAACCACAGGGTTTTTGCTACATATTGTATAATCTCAAGGTAACATTTAGTTCTTGCATGCGAATCTCAAGATAACGTCTCAAGGTAGAATGCAGTCTAAATATTTACATTAAAAATTTCATATTTACCCGTATTTTTCCACCTTTACAAGGCATTCCATCTAAGTCCTTAAGGTCGATAATACTGATGGACGATATACATCGGTGTATTAGAACACTCGATGTAAATAATAGATACAACGAATCAATCCGATTGTTCACGCACTGAGTTGCCCCAATAAAGGTTGACTGGACTAGGACCCATGAGTAATCCCATCGACGGGCAACAGAGGACGGGGCCCTACGGCCTATGGATAAATGTACAAAAAACGGCTGACAAATAAGCAAGCACTTACCTATTTCAGGAGGTAGGGTTGACCACAGGGTACCAGTCAGGTGATAAGGGAGATGCATGTAAGTTTGTGTGTAGTAGTGTGCACAATGTGTGACCTGACTTAACCTTTAAGTCGGAGAGAAGATCCACAGGCGTTGCTGCTCCCCAAAGGTGCGCTCCTCCAGTCGTAGTTCACCAATTGAACACTACTCAGTTTATCAACTTTATTGTACACTATTTCAATCTATCAACTTTATTGTACATTTAATTCACTTCAAAGTCAACCAATTCAACGTTCATCGAAATCAAACACGTGACACCCAACACAAGTAACAAACAAAGTCGTTCAAAGTTCAATATTCAATGTCCCGGGTTCATTTAGCACCAAATTACAAACAGGGAACAAACGCGATCTCTTCTCGAGTCACAAAGTTCAGCGTTCCAAACAACAAACTAAATTCCTTCGTACGATATTAAAATACTACGCCCGCAATAAGAACTCAAAATCAGCCTCGCTGACACGCAAAACTAACTAATTAGTCAACACACAACAAGGCACTTAACGCGACGTTACAATTCAACATTAACTTCCAAAAACAATTAACCGGCCCCTGCCCTCGAATTGGAATGCGAGCATCAAATTCCAGACCGTCTGTCCAATCGGCGTGCGCGCAAGGTTCCACGTCACACAAGCAAGTTAAATATTGCAAAATGCACTTCAACATGCAATCACTATATAAATTGACGCAATTACTTGCGAACGAAATTACTTTAATCACTCAAATTCAATACAAGCCCCTTGTCACGAAACGTACAACTTAGACAAACTAATTCAAGGCGGTCTATGCAGCGGTCACAAATAAATACACTAGTCGACCGAGTCGCTGCTGTCAAGCTATACAACTTAGACAAACTAATTCGAGGCGGTCAACTCGAACCCCAAATATTCATTAGCAAATTAAACGCGCACAAATACTCAAATTGTAGACTACCAGACCCAAAAACTTGCCGCGCGAAACCGATGCAGCGGTCATAAATAAATACGCGTCGACCGAGGCGCTGCTGTCAAGCTACTGTCAGCCCACCGGCCGGAATAACGGGAAGCCGGCACACGCCCCCCCCCCCCCCCCCGACGGCGTTTACCTCACCTCGACACCATCGGGTGATGCACTGAATTAAACGCGATTGGACGCCGTTTCAAATGCCTATGTTTGGGCCTAAACACCTATGTTTTGTTAATTCATCAACATCGAGTAAACATCGATGATTCTACTGTCAATTGTCGAATAAGTGACCGTCGCGCTCCCATTCAAATGGCGCCCATATTATATAGGGCATGCATTGTTTTCATTAAGTTAATAAGTTGTTTAATGATTTCTTATATTTACGCGAACACTACACATTGAATAAAACTACTTTTACGGATTTTATCGCGTTTAATTAACTTATTTTTGTTAATTCCCGACATTTCGGGTGCTTTACAGCACCCATGGTCACGGGGGACTGAGGTGATTGACGCTCCAATGTCAGAGTTAACCCGGAGTACCTTCAGATTTTTAATTATTACTTTTGGTCCGATCTACGCAGAATGAACTTACTGTGTATTGAAGTCTTGCAGTGGTATGCTTGGCTTTAGTTTTAATTTTATTAATTACAGGATGTTTTTCAATTTTAATAGCCTCACGTATCATCCTTGGCAGGAATCGATGTTCTTTCGCGAGAATTTGTGGTTTATCAAAGCTAATGTAATGGCGGGGGCCGTCTAGGATATGATCACAAACTGCAGACTAAAAAGTAATTCACTATTATTTAATTACTATTCAATTAATAAGTTATTGATTAAGTAGGAATCCATTTTGAAACTTGCTCTGTTGTGTTAGTTTAAAAAAATAATCGATGTATGGAAAACATCGATGTATTTTTTCAACGTCCATCACTAGGTGATAACGAATCTCCTTTTCGATTCTTAATCGAAGTTAGATGTATGTATGTATCCATGGGCCACAAAATCCACTTATCACCAGGTGTACTGTGGTCATTTGTCTATAAAAGACAAAAAAACGCCGCTATCAGAAAACTTTGATCGATTTACCTGTCCATATGGAAAGCGACTCCACAGATCTCACACACGAAGGGTTTTGCTCCTGTATGGACGTTTTGATGCTGTTCATACCAAGTTAGGACTTGAAAGCCCTTGCCGCATTTGTCGCATGTATACTGAAAGTATAAAGTATAAAATCTGTAAAAAGTTAAGATCGTTTCTATAAAATAACTTAAACTTAAATTGCAAGCTCCTTTATTTCAAGGCATTTAAGGTTTTTTTTATGTTGTTTCTTGTGAGTAGTTTGAGCAATTACTGTCCCACGAGTGTCGTAAAAGGCTACACAGGTGACCTGAAATAGGAAATGAGCAGTAGGATGTTCCTGATAAGAAGAACATCGAAGAAAAGTGACAGGTGACAATTGTCCATATTTTGAAATATATTAAAATAACTATTTATTATAATATTATTTTATATATAATTATACATTTGATGCGAAAAAAGATGCTTTATACAGTGGTGTAAATTTCTATAAGCACAAATTTCACGAAAAAATTTTAGGAGTGAAAAACGGACATTTTCGTGAACACCGCCGGATTTTGATGTTTGCCGAACCAAATCAGAAAGTGGCAGATTGTGTATTATCTCATATAAGGAAAGATTCCACGCTACGCAAGCCTTACAATTCTAACCCTGACATCAATAAATCAGGTGAGCCTAGCAATATGACTACTCGAAAGCATAAACACGACAACGACTTCTCAGAGGCTCTCAATAATTTTACCTCAGAGATACGTAGAACATTACATGACTGGAAAAAGGAAATTCAAGATGAAATATCAGGAATTAAAAATAATTTAGACTTCGTATTAAAAACCGATCTTGAGAAACTAAATGCATCCTTTGCTGAGATCATGTCGGAACTAAGCAGCGTCCGTCAGGAATATCACGAGATTAAAAAGTCGGTCATATCTCTTGACCTAAAGTACAACGAGACAATGAAGCAAATCACAGTTTTAGAAAACTCTGTACAATTCAATTGCGACCAATATGACCATGTTCAAAAGAAAATGGAATTATTATCTGTTAACAAAAAAGCAATCGAATCACTAGAATCTAAAATGGACTTATTGACTAACGAAAACAGACTATTACAATTGGAAATTAACACAAATAATCAAAGAGATCGCCTTTTGAACTTAGAGATCGTCGGCGTTCCTGAAATCAAGGATGAAGACTTAACCAATTTAATTATATCCATTGCTAAGCAGTCTAATGTAACTATTTCCCCTAATGATATATTAGAAGTTAATCGTGTCACACCGAAAATCAAACAACAGGGCCGCCCGAAAAATATAATTGCAAAGCTTAAATCCCGTCTTCTAAAGGACAACATAATCTCTGGCACTCGAAAAAACCGACTGACCACCAAAGACCTTGCCATACATGGCAGCGTTCGTCCCGTATATGTCAATGAGCATCTTACACAGTGCAATAAACTTCTACTAAAGAAATGTAGGGAGACGGCGAAACTTAAGCAGTATCAATATGTGTGGACAAAAAACGGGAGGATCTACGTCAGGAAGAACGACACATCTCCGGCTTTGCATATATCACAGGAAAGAGACGTTTTAAAATTAATTTAATCTTACATTGTATATTGTTTTGTTCTCTTTTCAAGTACGTTATATTGCTTAAATTTATCAATTCCATCGTTGTAAAAGCAATTCATTGGTCTCTCTTATCTCATTTTGTCTATATTATATATCATTGTTTGACCGCACGTAAATGGAGCTCAATTAATGAAATATTTTTGGTCTTAAGTGTATTAGTCACACGCGCGATAATTGTGCAGCTAAGTTGCATCCATATTCTTCACGAACGTTACTCAACTATATATATATTATGGTTTCTTTTACTATATCCTTTATATTTAATAAAATACCAATTATATTTTTTCTGGCGTCTTGTATATTATGTATTAATTTATTTTACTTTGTCAATCTATGAATTCATCTATTATATTGTTATTATTCATAATAATTACCCGTTCAATATTTATTTATTAAATCTAACAACAATACTTAACACGTCTATATTGTTACATTCGCGATATTTATATATATATTTAATAACTGCTCTGCATATTTATAAGCTCGCACCCTTTTATGTTGACTCGACTATATTACTCAAATCATTTAAGGATTCATTCTGTTATATCTTATTGATAAATTTTATACTCTACCACCTTATACAAAAAATCAAGTCACTATTAACTAGCAACTGCCGAAGTGATATATCATTGTTCGTACTACTTAAGTCTAACGTAAACAAATTATTAGTTCTGTTACTCTGTGTAGCTTTAAAGTACTATATATTTAACACATTTGGGTACATATTTGATTTTGATTAATGGCTGTAAATAATGTAAATAATTTGTACTGTTATTATCAGAATGTTCGTGGTCTTAGGACTAAATGTCTTGAATTACGACTAAATATTTTGACGAACGATTACGACATTATAATTATGACAGAATCATGGCTACACAGTGGAATTTTTGATGGTGAGTTGTGCGACGATAGGTATGACGTGTTCAGGGCTGACAGAGATTTGCGTAATAGTGGTAAAAGTACTGGTGGTGGAGTATTAATACTGACACGACGTACACTCGGTGCCATGTATCGTGACCTCGGTGTATGCGGTCTTACTGAGCTATTGTGGATTACTATTCCTTCAAGCGCGTGCGCTTCAAATTCCAACTTACATATTTGTGTGGCATATATTGCCCCTGACCCTCATCAAATGCCATCGGATCTCGTTTTTATTAAACATAAAATTAATAGTATTATCGAGCTTTCTCCAAATGATAATTTTGTAATATTAGGAGATTTCAACTTGCCGTTCATTTCTTGGAACCCAGACGGATATACAGCTTTGAAAAAAGGGCCTACTGAGGTACAAGAAGCGAGTATCCAGCTGATGGAAACACTAACATTTCACGGGTTAAGACAATTTAATACTTTAAAAAATCATGCTGGTAACACATTAGATCTTGCATTCTCTAATCTACCTCTGAATATCATCCCTGCGGCTGCGCCGCTACTCAGGGAGGACCACGCACATCCTTCTTTTTGCTTCATAGTTTTGGATTTAAACATTACTCCTCTACGGGAAACAGCTGCGCCGAGGCGAAATTTCAGGAGGGCTGATTATGAAAAAATTAATACATATCTTTTAGAACAGGACTGGAGGTCTCTTTTATGTACAGGCACTGTAGACGAAGCTACAAATACCTTTTATAACATACTGGATAGTTGTGTTAGTTTACATGTGCCCTTTAGTTATAACACAGGGAAGCGATCATATCCTAAATGGTACACACCTGCTTTAATAAAAATAATTAAGGAGAAAAACAATGCTCACACACGTTGGAAAAAATTCAGGAATAGATTAGATTACGATGAGTTTTCGTTACTCCGAGCAAGAGAACACCGTGTTCAGAGAGAATGCTTTAATAAATTTACGTCAAGTTGTGAAAATAGCATCAAAACACATCCTAAAACATTCTGGACTTTCGTCAAAGCCATTCGGGGTGGGTCAGGTTACCCTAAGAAAATGTCTTTGAAAGATATAGAGTACACCGATGGTATAGACATATGCAATGCTTTCAACTCATTCTTCAAGAGTGTATTTGGTATTCCTAGTAATAACTACATATATCCACATACGGAATCGTTGTATACTGACACAGTTTCTAATGTACAGACAAACGCTGCAATAATTGAAAAAATGTTGAAAACTTTGGACACGAACAAAGGTGCCGGTAGTGATGGGTTACCTTCTTTTTTTTGGTCACGATGCGCTAAATCACTTGCTCTCCCCTTGACTATTATATTTAATCGCTCTCTACGTGAAGGGATATTTCCGCATCAATGGAAGTGTGCACACATAATCCCTGTACACAAGAAGGGATCACGTACAGAAATAAATAATTATAGAGGCATTTCTATTTTGAACACCGCGGCTAAAATCCTTGAACGAGTAGTATATAACGTAATTTACTCCACGCTTTCACGTGCCTTCCCTGAGCAGCAACATGGTTTTTTACAAAGGCGATCCACCACTACGAACCTGGCAAGTTTTTCTTCTTTTGTCCTTGAAAATATGGATCAAGGTGGGCAGGTTGATGTGATCTACACTGATTTTGAAAAAGCTTTCGATCGTGTGGATCACATGATCCTGCTCAACAAATTACAAATATTAGGGATTCACGGTGACTTGCTCCGATGGACTGAATCATATCTCACAAACCGCTCACAAGCAGTCGTGATAGGTGGTTTCCGTTCGAGCTACATAAACATACCTACAGGTGTTCCTCAGGGCTCTCACTTAGGTCCACTTTTTTACAATGCCTACCTATATGACATTGGTTCGTGCATTATACACACAAATTACCTCATGTATGCAGATGATAAGAAGATTTTTTGTAAAATTAACACCATACATGACTGCCTATTGATACAAAAAGACCTGGACCGTTTATTTGAATATTACAAAATAAATAATATAACTGTCAATGCAAGCAAGTGCGAATGTATTAGTTTTACACGGAAATCTAAGCCAATTCTAAATAAATATCACTTTGACGGATTAGAAATCAGCCGAAAAGTAAGTGTTAGGGATTTAGGCGTAATTTTTGATCATAAAATGATACTATCCGAACACATTGATTACGTTATCAGTAAAGCCTATAAAAATCTTGGTTTTGTTCTTCGCATCTGTAAACCATTCTCGAATATTAATACAATTAAAATGGTTTATTTTGCATATGTCAGAAGTGTTTTGGAATATGCTAGTTCAATATGGTCTCCACAGTACAATGTCTACAAAAGCCGCCTTGAGCGTATTCAAAAAATATTTGTTAATCACCTTAACTTTCGCTGTCGGAATAAAATCGATACTTACACAGACAGTTGCACTGAGCACGATCTCTTATCTCTTGAACACAGGCGCATTTTGCTTGACATGGCTTTGTTATATGATATAATAAACAGTAATATTGACTGTCCATATCTTGTCTCAAAAATCACCTTTCGTACTCCAAAATTCCGTACCCGCAATACTACATTGTTACAGACTCCCTGGCATCATTCAAACTACTCTCGAAACACTGTTCTTTCGCGGCTTGCTCGTACATATAATGAACAATTTGGACACATTGACCTCTTTGCGAAATCTAAACTTACGTTTAAAGATTACATCAAGAAAACTATTACGAAATAGAGCAGTTGAAGTTAAATTCACATACAATCATTTATTCTCTCATCTATTTCTTCTATATGTATTTTTGAGGCTACTAATATAAATATAAGTACTTAAGTTATTTTATTTAATAAATATTATAATTAATTATTTGTATTATGTTTATATATTTAAACATTTAATATGTATATATACATAAGTAAATATATATGTATGTATATATATATATATATATATATATATATATATATATATATAAATATATATATATATATATATATATATATATATATATATATATATTATACATATATATATATATATATATATTTATATATATATATATGTATAAAGGTAATCTAATATATCATTCTACCTGACTATCTCTCCTGATCTGTAAACTTATGACCACCTTCATTACATTGAATTACTTATAATTTTGCTTATAATTTATCTATTAGATTGTTCTTTTTCCTTTTCTTCTAACAACAATACACCTACCATCAAACAATATAAGGGAAACCTGTTATTGGCCATACTTTTAGTTTGTTACATTAATGTTAATATTTTCTATATACGCTGTTGGTTTTCTAAATAAATAAATAAATAAATAAATAAACTAATAAAAAAACTGCGGTTGCCAAAACAAAAGAGCGACGCTGTAGCTATAAATGGCTGCGGCACGAATAGGTTGTCTTATATATTATTATATTTTATTAACAGCAGAAATATTCCTTCTGAATATTTCTGCTGTTCGGAGTATTTATTTATAGCCCCACGTCATAGTAAGCCTTTAAAAATATAGCAGTTTCAAGGAGCATGAAAGTAAAATTAATAAAGTATGTATTAAAACAAGATGTTGTGACCATGATTAAGCAAGAAATGTCTCGGTAGTTTTGACACGTTAAAAGAATGAATGAGCAGTTTATGCAGCAGAAGTGAGTGGCAGAGAAAGAGAAGTTTATTGAACACGTACTCTTAATTTAGCCCATCTCAGTGTATGTAACATTGAAGATGGGCAAAATTAAAACTACCCTCAAAAGATGTATGCACATACAATATATGCATGTGAAAAAAGCGAGAGTGGTGTATCAGATTCTTGTCAAATGGAAGCCCGTAGTCTCTGCCTACCCCTTTAGATGACAGGCAAGAGAGTTTATGTATTTTAGTATGTAGTTACACCTAAAGTTAAATGTTAAGGTTACAACATATATACATAGGCTGCACTAAAAGTATCGGGAATGGAATATTTCCACTGTTCCTGTCATATTAAAATCTTTTTAATTGAAAAGTCCTTGGTTTTAAAAATCGAATACCATTTATTTATTTAAAAAAAGATTCTCGGTCTTGTCACAAGGTTTTGTCAAACTTGTTTAGTCGTTGAGAAAATGGAATTGACTCGAGAAAATTCAAGAGCGATGATTTATTATGACTTTCGAAGTGGTTAACACAAAAACAGTGTGTTGACCGGATAATTTCTGCATTTGGTGATGAAGCCCCATCCAAAACCACAAGTTATCGCTGGTTTGCTGAATTTCAACGTAGACGTGTCAAGCTCAGTGATGATCCCCGTCAAGGTCGTCCAAAAACTGCAGTCACCCAAGAAAACGTTGATGCTGTGCGTAAGCTGATTGAGGCAGATCGACATGTGACATACCGCGAAATTCAGGGAACTTTAGACAATGGCATGAGTCAAATACAAATAATCTCACATGAACAATTAGGTGTAAAAAAGTTGTTTTCCCGATGGATACCGCATTCGCTCTGTGAAGAGCAAAAAGCGGCTTGCGTTACTTGGTGCATCAGAACTCTCGAAAGATTCCACGCAAGATCCTCAAATGCTGTATACAACATCGTATCAGATGACGAATCCTGGATATACGCGTACGAACCCGAAACAAAATACCAGTCACGAGTTTGGGTGTTCGAAAATGAGTTAAAGCCAACAAAAATTGTTCGTTGACGGAGTGTTGCAAAAAAAATGGTGGCCACGTTTGTCTCCAAAACCGGCCATGTTACGACTATTCCTCTTGAGGGACAAAGAACGGTTAATGCAGAATGGTATGCTAGCATTTGTTTGCCACAGGTCGTTTCTGAACTCCGTAAAGAGAACTGCAACCGCCGCATCATCCTCCATCACGACAATGCGAGTTCTCACACCGCACACAGAACAAGAATTTTTAGAGCAAGAAACCATAGAATTATTAGACCATCCGCCGTACAGCACCGACCTAAGCCCTAATGATTTCTATACTTTCCCTAAAATAAAGAATAAATTGCGTGGACAGAGATTTTCATCGCCTGAAGAAGCTGTGGACGCCTACAAAACGGCCATTTTGGAGACCCCAACTTCCGAATGGAATGGTTGCTTCAATCATTGGTTCTATCGTATAGAAAAATGTGTAAAATTTCGCGGAGAATACTTCGAAAAGCAAGAAATACATTTTGAAATAGTAATGTTGTGTCACTTCCTTGATTCCCGAAATTTTCAGTATCATCCTCGTACGTACCACTGCTGGGCACAGGCATCCCCCATTTTTAAGGGGTATTTAGGGCAAGGAAATGTCCACCGTGCTACCCCAATGCGTGTTGGCGAACTTCACATGTCTGCGATTTCTTTTTCTAATTTCTCAGACATGCAGGTTTTCTTACGATGTTTTCCTTCACCGCCGAGCACGTGGTAAATCAGCACTTAAAATTGCAATTAACAATTTCATTGGGTGCCGGCGGGGATCGAACCCGGATTTCCCGCGTACTGTGAAATTTACAGCGAGCGCTAACCATCTGAGCTGGCACGGCCACTGCACCTAGTGCATTTAAATTTTTAATAAATTACCGAATATTCCGTCCTATGTCGCCTTTCGTGCTGCTTAAGTGCCCCCAAGTACACGGTACTATATCCACATTGGTATGAACAAGGAATTCTAGTACCGTTGTGCGCTCTCCCGTGCCTCACTATTTCCGAAGCTGTTTTATACGTTCGACCTAGAAAAAAATTGATTTTTTTAATATAGACTAAAGGTGACAAACGAGCACACAGTCCATCTGATGGTAAAGTGGATGCTGTGACCCATAGACATCTAAAATCTCTCCTAGATTAAAAATCAAAATGCAGATGCGTTGTCACCCCCAAAGGACTAAAATGGAATGCCTCGTTTCCAGTAAAAGGGGTCTCCGGTCATCTACACTCACCATACGAAACACAGCAGCATTAAGCTGCTATTTTACGCTGGTATTAGGTTGGAATGTGGTCCTTCCCCTGTCTTGCCGACCCATTCTCTTCAACCATAATACAGCTGCAGTGTGGGTACACCACTTATACAATTTAAATTAGGGTTAGTTTTGATGTAGTTTTAATACAAACTTATTTCATATTCAAAATGATTAGACTTTAAATGTCTTTACAGTATTTGCCTATCAGTCTACTTTATAAGAGACTGTAGTGTCATAAGCGACTATAGCAAATGCTAGAAAACTCTTAAAGCTTCCGCTAGATGGCAGTATTACCACTTTGTTTAAACTTAAAATACATAGATCGGAGACGGGGATTAACATCATCAAACTATGATTGTTAATTCGCCTATACGTAGCGGCACGAGTTGTGAGCATAGCCTTGACATGCGCAATGGTCGATTTGGTAATGGGCGGAGTGGGTAAGGTGAACGTTCTTTTACGTGATTGGTACGTTTTTTTTATAGGATAGGGTCACAAACGAGCACACAGTCCACCTGATGGTAGGTGGTTGCTGTGGCCCATAGACATCTACATCTATCCTCGTTTGCGAATCAAAATGCAGATGCGTTGTCACCCGTGAGGACTAAGATGGAATGCCTCTTTTCCAGTAAAAAGGATCTCCGGTTCTCTACACTCACCATACGAAACACAGCAGTTTTGAGCTGCTATTTTACGCTGGTATTCTGTGAGAACGAGGTCCTTCCCCGGTCGAGCCGATCCATTCGTACTACAACTATACTACTACATAAAAATACGGTTGAAGAAATCGGTCGTTTCTAAAGTAGGCTAACTTTCACCAAACTGCAGAGCAGTATGTTGACGAATATGGGTGCATCACCAATTCACATCCTATGTACCCACCGTAATTAGTATCCTAATCTGGAATTTGAACTTAAAATAAAAATATTAACTTTAAACTTAAATTATTGTATATATTTAAATCTTATTTAACATACTTCATTATGTTTAAATTTATTAATATTTCAAACTTAAGCTCGAAGGACCGACAACCGATGAGGTAAAAAGAACTCGTACTTCCCACTAGAAGTGATGAAGGACCGTTCTTTGTGGCATTTCTTTTGGGAGGCCTATGTTCAGCAGTGGACTTGTGAAGAGCTGTAATGCTGATGAGGATGATAATACTGGTGGGAAAATGTACATTTGCGAATGCTGTCACTTGGTGCTCACGACTCGCGCCGCTATTTCTACCGTGCGGTAACATTATGGAAATTTCTTCCTACAATGGAAGTAGCTCATGTCTAGCCGTGTACTTTACAGGTTAACGAAAAAGAAGTCCGATTGGGACGAAAAATTAAAATTGATAAATACCACATAATTTGCACAAAAAAGGTCTGTCCTCTACATGAGATATTGTGTGCTTATTCATTTTTCTTTTGCTATCAAATACCCTTTCACATTTCTTGCATTTATATTTATTGCATCCGTTTGATCCTGTTACAATTTCATAGTTTTTATCTCCAGAATTACTTTTGTCTTCTTGTGTTAGTTTAGAATTTGTATGTTCATCGTTATAATGCTTCAATAATTCAATTTGTGTGGAGTTCTTTTTAAAACAGGTTAAGCATGTGAGATTATTGCCTGTATATATTCCTGTTTGGTCTTTTGGTGATGTTCTGGAGGCAGGTGATTTGGAATGCTAAAAAATAACAAAAATATTATAGTGTGTGTAATCTAAATACATCTTGCAACAATGTGTACAGACAAGGAAGGGAAATAAATTGACAATATCTATCTTCACATCCGATTAAAATGTGGTTGTCGTCAAGGCAATAGTGAATAGACTTTTGTTAAGTCAGTTTGCTTTACTATGTTCTGTTGCATTGGCACTTTTCGTCAGGTTGGATAGTATAAAGATAGTATAGCGCTGGCTTAGAACAGTAAATAAAAAAACTCTGTCTTCCTAAGTAAAAAATCACATCTGCATCTTTTCACTATGTGACTTTTGTCTTCTCAAAAACTTGAAAAATGTGAATTATATATTATTTTTATAAAAGTGAAATCTTCAAATATTTTAAAGTTAAATCATCATTAAAAAATTTCGTAATTCCACAGCTGTGGGATTATGAAATTTTTTAGGTATTCCCCAATGATTGCCTAAAAACATGGTCCTTATCCACCGGCATCGATCGACTTCATCTTGCTTCTCTGCATTTTTACGAGGTTGTCACTCAATCTAGTGGGTAGTCGTCCTACACTCCACTAGCCAATATCGTTCGACTAGATAATACTTTTTCGACTAATAAATAGATCTAGAATTTTTTGCAATGTCCTCCTCCAGACCGAATTTCAGCGGTCAGTCTCAACGGAGACTAGCCATTGGCGCAGGACAGGATTATAGTGCCCAAGTGTATGCGCAAGCACAGGTGCACTCTCTATTCCCTCACTCTCATAGTCCTATGGGACGGTAAACGGACACGATCGGAGAGAGGAGATCAGGCACAGGACCATCGGCTCATGCTTTCCGAGGCACGGGGTTAGACACCGCCAACTTCCTGGCTCCGGGCAGCTACTGAGAATTTCTTGACGGAAAAACTCAATAACTGATTTTTTTGGCCCGGCTTGGGATTCGAACCCGGGACCTCATGATCAGCAGTCGCACTACTACAATCACTGGACCAACGAGGATTTTTCGCAATAATCATACATCAAAAGGAGCCACGGTAGATCACGAGCTAAAAGCTTACAGTAAACTTTATTGTATGCAGGCAACTCGAATTAGATACTTATTAGAATAGCAACTTTATGCCCCGATTGGCAACGATATTTTTTATTGTTTTGAGTTGTTCCCATTTTCATGTTTACGTTTCCCTCTGTCGCCTCTTTCGACACCCACGGGACGATATGGCCACCAAGTTTGCCCAACCTTTTTCAATCCTATTCTCCACCTATAATGATGGTTTGACATAATGATTTCTTATATTTACGCGAACACTACACATTGAATAAAACCACTGTGACCATGGGTGCTGTAAAGTACCCGAAACTTCGGGAATCAATAAAAAACAAGTTAATTAAACGCGATGGAATCTGTAAAAGTAGTTTTATTCAATGATGGTTTGACCTAAAATATTTGTCGCACACATACAGTTGTGGTATGTTCAAAAGGTTATATCTGCATATATACCTGTGATCTCGCACCAAATTATCACGTGCTCATGAAGTGTAATTAACTGCTTACCTGGTTCCTGCGTCAATTCATAAGATACTACCGTTTTGTCTACTATTATTCTTTTTGATTTTATAAATATTATTTCCTTCACTTTCATATTTATAACACTCAACTTTCCCAAACTGGTGATTGGAGCAGCATAATCAATGGGAATTGCTTCAGCACTCACCAGTCTACTCACTAGTGTGTGTGAGATGAGAGTGGTGTGGTGGACAGCTGGCTTATTCATGGATTCACCCTTGAAAAACATGAATGTTATGCTATATTTAACATTAGTATCCTGTATGATTATCGTTCCTAAAGCCCATATTGAACAGCAGTCTGGGGAAATACTAACTACAGTAAATTACTCATATTATAGAAAAATAACCTTATCTGGATTTTTGGATTGTTTTATTAAAGAATGGGACACATTATCCTCCGAACAAAAGTCATAGCCATCCTCAATCTCACTTAACTCCGATTTATTTAGACTGTTAATTCCACTTTCAGCTATAACTTTACTTTGTTCATATTTTATTTTCACTGTACCATCTTGAAGTACTTCATTTTCTTTGTTGTCAAATTCATTCTCATTATTTTCTCTATTAATGTGTTCTTTGTCATTTTTATTAAAATTATTAACAGTATTATAGACTTCTTTAAGCCTGCTTAAGAGGATATTTTGATTTTGTATGATTTTATTACGAAAAATATAAATATCTTCTATTTTATTCTTGCAAAATGTGCATATTGTTTGAGGTAGACTGTCGCCAGTTACAATCTGAAAATTACAATAAATCTGTAAACTAGGTTTAAGGTAAAAACGATTTCTTATGATTATGACATTTTTTTTAATTAATATAAAATAATAAAAAATAATAAAATATAATATAATAATTTAAAAATCTATATATAAAATACGTGGTAGAGCCATGCTGCAGCTATATTAATAGTATAGTTGTAGCACGAATGGGTCGGCTCGACCGGGGAAGGAGCACGCTCTCACAGAATACCAGCGTAAAATAGCAGCCTAACGCTGCTGTGTTTCGTATGGTGAGTGTAGAGAACCGGAGAGCCTTTTTACTGGAAACGAGGCATTCCATCTTAGTCCTCACAGGTGTCAACGCATCTGTATTTTGATTCGTAATCGAAGATAGATGTAGATGTCTATGGGCCACAGCAACCACTTACCATCAGGTGGACTGTGTGCTCGTTAGTCACCCTTATCTTATAAAAAAAAAATACAAATAAATAAAATTTAAGTGTCTGTTTGCAATGTCAAAATTACAGCTTTTTACTAAATGCAGAAGAAAGCATATACGGTACTAATAACAAAAATACAATTTTCAAAGTTTTTGTCTGTCTGTCTGTTTAGTTAGGCTACTTTTATTATAGAAAAAGAATTAGGGTTCCGCGCAAAAAAATTAAAACCCCCTAATAACACGCGGGCGAAGTTGCGGGGAACAGCTAGAAATAAATAAATAAGAGACAAACGAACTCACAGTCTATCTGATGATAAGTAACAACAGGTTTTACGTCGTATAGCCATACTGCTATAGTTACTGGTGTAGTTGTAGCACGAATGGGTCGGCACGACCGGGGAAGGACCACGCTCTCACAGAATACCAGTGTAAAATAGAAGCTTAATGTTGCTGTTTCGTATGGTGAGTGTAGAGAACCAGAAACCCTTTTTACTGGAAACAATACACTCCATCTTAATCCTCACGGGTGACAACGTATCTGCATTTAGATTCGTAATCAAAGAGTATAAATGGTATACCCACACTGCACCTGTATTGTGGTTGAAGAGAATGGGTCGGCTCGACAGGGGAAGGACCACATTCTAACACAATACCAGCGTAAAAAAGCAACTTAACGCTGCTGTGTTTCGTATTCTGACTGTAGAGAACCAGAGACCCTTTTTACTGGAAAAGAGGCATTCCATCTTAATCCTCACGGGTGATAATGCATCTGCATTTTGATTTGTAATCGAGAATAGATGTACATGTCTATAGGCCACAACAACTACTCACCATCAGGTGGACTGTGCTCGTTTGTCACCCTTATCCTATAAAAAAATGTGGCTAATTCATTGACACCTGCAATCAACTTCAAAAAACGAAGGTCGTAGATGCGCTATACCTCTGAAACTAGGATCAAATGCCTCACATTCTGTAATACTGATAAATAATGGTAGAGCCTCCTTCTCTCCACATCCCTACCATTTCAATATTAAGGATAATTATTTTAATGCCTTTCTTAAGTTTAATTGAATATAAACATAGGAAGGGCATTTATATAAAATCCAGAAAAATATCTAAAATTAATTTTCTATACTAAGTTCACTGTATAAAAAATATGATGTGGAAAGATAGAGATGTTGGGAAGGTAAGAGTGACCTACAAGTTTTTGCCTAAAAACTTACTGCTGCATAATATATTGATAAGCATAGTTTGCATTAAATTATTAACTTACGTCATGACCAAAACACAACGTTATTTTCAGAAAAAAATCACATTCCGTCAACGTAACGTCCATTATCGAGTCTTCAGAAAGACAAAATCTACAAATATTATTCATTTTTATTAAACAAACAATGAAATAAAAAGTAATGACAAAATGACGTACATATTGTTTGTAAATAATGAAAAAAAAAACAAAAATATTGTTGTTGTATTTATTATTCGCTCGAAAGAGCAGGCAAAAGAACTATGCCATACAGCCTTGTCTTTTTTATTTTGAATATATAGAATTTTACTGCTTCACAATATGTTGATACGTCACATTGTGCAGCCCTTGGGAGATTTTGACGGCAACTTGAGCCAGCAGACAGCTGAGAGTTGGCGATGGTATCTAACGGCGCCTATGCAAACAAACAGCTTATCTTGATAATCCATAACCATCAGAGCACTTGTTTCACCGTTTCTACTATTATTTTAACTATAATACAGGAGCATTGTAGAAGCTTGCATTGGGGGTCATTGTAGAAGCGTGCTCGTCGCGACCCCTGCCAGCCCTTTTCAGGGCTGCAATTCTACTAGCTGCGCACCCATGCCAACGAGGGTTAGGGCGTCCCCCCAAGGCGACGCACACCAGCTCGTCCCCGTTGGTGTGGAATGCAGCGTGCAAAGCGGCGATGGGGACCGCCACCCGTCACGCACAGCCCGACACGGCGGAAGGTGGAGGACAGAGTGCAGAGTTGGCACGTGGAATGTTAGAGGAGGCATGAGAGATAAGACGAATGAGTTGATCGAAATAATGAAAGAAAGAGAATTAGATGTCGTGTGTATGTCGGAGACCAAACGGAAGGGCAGTGGTACTGAAGAGCTCCCTGGCGGGGCGTTAGCTCTATGGTCCGGAGTCCCGGAGAGCGAGAACGCTTGCCAGGGAGTGGGGGTGCTGCTGTCTTCTCGGTTGGTCGATGTTATGACTGAATATAAGGTTGTGAACTCAAGACTTCTCTGGGTTCGCTTTAAATTGGGACTGACGAAGTTATTCCTTTTGGCTGTTTATGCGCCGGTAGCTTCGTCGTCCAGGGCTGAGCTGGAGGAGTTTTGGGAGAATGTAAGAGAAGTTCTAGATTTAGCTTGGGGAAACGAAAGAATTGTTGTATGTGGTGATTTGAATGGATGGGTTGGTACCGCTCGACCAGGGTACGAGTCGGTACTTGGAAAGTTTGGCGATAAAAGGGTTAATGATGCTGGCAAGCTTATACTGGCGGTGTGCAAGGAAAAGGGTCTTCTTGTGACAAACACTATGTTTAATCACAAGAAAATCCATATGTATACTAGAGAACGAAAGAATGAGAGAAGTATGATTGATTTGTTCCTGGTGGATGACCGACTGCGAAAACAGGTGATGGATACGCGAGTGTTCAGGGGTGCTGACCTGGGAACGGATCACTATCTAGTGATTACTAGATTTAGGGGTCTGTTCGCGGGTTGGCGCTACCGGACGGCAGTAACAGAACCACAGTCGGTCTGTCGCATCCGAAGCTGGAAGCTTCAGGAAGCGGATACTAGGGACAAATATCAAGCGAGGGTAGCCGAAAAGCTTGACACCATCGATGGCAGAAAAGAATGTGTAGAAAGAACTTGGCAGAACCTTAGGGATGGAATGGTAAGTGCAGCGGAAGAAGTGTGTGGAACAATAAAAAGAGGCAGTAGTAAAAGAAGAGGTGCATGGTGGAATGATGAAGTGAAAGAAGCTGTAAAGAAGAAGAAGAAAGCATGGTTAGACTACTTGGCCTCTAGTAATGATAAGGATATGAGAGAGAAGATGAAAGAAAGATATAGGCTGCAGAAAGTTCACACGAAAGCACTGATTGAGGAAGTGCGTGAAAGGTGTAGAATGGAAGCGGACGAAAGGTTGTCGCACAACTTTAAGGAGAACTCCAAACTCTTCTGGAAAGAGGTTGGAAGGACCCGGAGTGGTGCGACGGCCTTAAGAATGAACAAAGTGCTTTCGAGAACTAATGACGTCCTCTCAGAAAAATCGGACGTCATGCAGCGATGGAGCGAATTTTATAGAGAAATGTATGCGTGTGATGATCTTAGTGAGGGATCCGGGGATGACGCCGTGACTGGTACGCCAGACCCGGACCTCGATGACACTGAGATCATCAGTATGAAAGAGATTGAACGAGCGATTCGAAGTTTGAAATGTGGTAAGGCTGCGGGACTAGACAGAGTTACTGCTGAAATGGTCAAGTATGGTGGGCCTCGCGTCTGGGACAGCTTTCATCTGCTGTGCAATTTGTGCTGGCGGACGGGGGATGTCCCGGATGATTGGCGATCCGCAGTCATTGTGCCTTTATATAAAGGTAAAGGTTCACATTTTGACTGCGGGTGCTATCGGGCGATCAGCTTGACCAGTTTAGCAAGTAAAGTTTACTCGAAGGTTTTGACACGTAGGATGCAAGAGAAATCGGAAAGATTTCTATGGGAGGCACAATGCGGATTTAGACCTGGAAGAGGATGCACGGATCAAATGTTTTCTCTCCGCATGATCACGGAGAAGCTTCTGGCTGCTAACCAGAGGATTTTCTGTGCTTTTGTGGATCTTGAGAAAGCATTTGATAAGGTTGTAAGGAAGAAAATGTGGGAACTGTTGCCGGGGTATGGTGTGGATGGTCGATTGCTAAGGGCTGTGCAGTCTCTTTACTGTGACTGTAAAGCCTGTGTGCGGGTAGGGCATGACCTGTCACCCATGTTTAACGTCCAAACGGGCGTAAAGCAGGGTTGTGTCATGTCTTCCTGGCTGTTCATACTGTATCTCGACAGCTGTTTACAGAAGCTGAAAGATAGTTGTTTGGGTGTGAAATTGGGTGACATTAAAGTAAATTGTCTGCTGTATGCTGATGATGCAGTGCTTATTGCACCATCAGAGGCAGAACTGCAGGCATTAGTCACGTGTATGAAAGAGGAATGTGAAATTAAAGGTCTCCGTTTGAATGCTAATAAAACTAAGGTTCTGGTATTTGAAAGGGACGAAGAGAGAACGAAGTGTGAAATATGGGTAAATCAGGAATGTCTAGAATGGGATGGAAGATGTGATTTAGATGTGGACAGGCGTGTCGCTGCCGGGAACAAAGTCAATGGTGCCCTGACTGCGTTAGTCAAAAGGCAAGGCGTAGCGAAGAGTGCACGCCTTGCAATACATAACGCAGTGTTGGTACCGACTTTGTTATATGGCAGCGAAACCTGGGTATGCCAGAAGAAGCATAAAAGTAAGTTGAATGCAGTGGAGATGAGATCTCTTCGTAAAATGTGCGGCGTTACCATGGCCGACCGAAAGCGAAACGAAGAGATTCGCAATATGGCAGGTTTGAAAGATGACCTTATCACAAAAATTGATAAGGGCGTGCTTCGGTGGTTTGGGCACGTTGAGCGAATGAGTGAAGACCGAATGGTGAAGAAAATATATAGCGCGAAAGTTAATATTAAAAGGTGTCGAGGTAGACCGAGACTAACTTTCGAAGACCATGTGAGCAAATTGCTCGAAGAGGGTAGGGTCAAAAGTACTCGGATACCTAGACGTGCATGCATGAAGAAGATAATGAATCTGAAAGAAGCGAAAGAGGTTTGTAAGGATCGTGACACTTGGCGATCTGTTCTCTCTGGCTACCCCGTCAGGGATTGTGCGTGAAGATAAGCATAATACAGGAGCAGCAAACCGACGCCGGTAAAGTTCCCGCCAAAACTCCTCAACCCAAAAATAAATCTGACAACCCGACAGCCTGACACTGACAACCATAGATTGCTGCACAGACCACTGACTTAGAAGTATATGGACTGGGCATACCTACAGAATTAGCGTGACTACCTAAACAAATCTGGCGCATAAAATGGCCGCCTTTTATAGGGTTGTAACTCAGCAATATGGGCAGCTGATATCGATATTTATACTAATATGAATTTGTTCTTATTTAATATAATTATAGAAATTAAATCCATATCCTAATTGCCTAACACCCCTAATGGCAAACCTAATGGCAAACCATACCAATTTGACAGTTTAACCACATCCATTGCTGTTTTAAAAATCAATACTTAACAGTGGTAGAGCCACGCGGCAGCTTTTGCTATCGCACGAATGGGCCGGCTCGAACCGGGGTAGTACCACGACCTCACAGAAAACCAGCGTGAAGTAGAGGTTTACCTCTGCGTTTCGCTTGGTGAGTGCAGGTGGCCGGAGGCACTTTTTACTGGAAATGAAGCATTCCATCTTAGTTCTCACGGGTGACAACGCATCTACATTTTGATTTGTAACAGAGGATAGATGTAGATGTCTATGGGCCGCAGCAACCACTTACCATCAGGTGGACTGTGTGCTCGTTTGTCACCCTTATCCTATAAAAAAAAACTTATTTATTATTAATTGGTATATAGGAACGTTCTGCACATAATGGATCACAAATGGTAAGTTATACAAGCATGTTCGGTCCTGCTGGATATCATATTGAATTTTTTTATTCAGATTTTGAATGAAAAACATTATTATTTTTCGCATGTAAATTAATTTTGTTCCTTTAAATTTCCAAAATGTGGCATGATTATGAAACGGTGGATGAAATATGATATCCAGGATTTATAAACTATTATTATATTCATTTCTGAACAAACTTAATTTATTAAAATAATTTCTATACGACACCATAGATAAGGGTGTACGACACTATGTCACTGCTTTTTGACAATTTGTTAGCAGATCTACCACAAAACTTGGCGCTTAAAATGGCGGCGCGGTCACGCATGGATGAGCTAATGACGTCACACGAAAGTATTACCAAACTAAGCACTTTACAAACTGTAGTTGTCTCTCTTTTCTATTGCTACTGCTTTGTTAAAAAGAGACTAAACTGTTTTTGACAAGTGTCTGTTGATATTATAGATATTTGTATAACTATTTATAGTGGAATATGCCCTCTCCATAGGTATATATCTCTATGGCACAGACTAATAGTCTTGGGCATAGTCGGTCGCCATTGGGAACGCTCAATTTAGTTCGTAGTCCTATAGCGAACTAGTTCGCTCATTTAGTTCGTTAGTTCTTTTTTAATTTTTCACTTTAAAAAAATA